GTGTTTATGTTGTGTTAAGATGTCGGCATGAGGTTAGAAATATATAACAAAGTAGCTTGGAGAGGTATAAGAAATGTGTATTAATTAAGTATGTTCACAGCGTAGAAATCCACGGGCTACGGCATCTGAAAACGTTTTACCATCGCCCTTTTTATTATTAAGACTAAACCCCTTTTTACAGAGGTATTTTTTTATAAAAAAAACTCTATCTATGAACTGTCTTTCTGGTTCATAATAGACAAATTTTGCGTCAACTCAGAAATAAATTACTTTAGAAGCTAGGCTCAGAAATGTATCATAACAAGCAAGAGAAGAGAGCTAGTTGGGTTTATCCAATTTTTAGGGAATTTACAAGCAACGACTATGGATATTTACCGGCGAATATTGGTGTGTCGGTCGAATATCAGGAAGATTAGCGTCATTGTAGTATGTCATGTCTCTTGCAGTCATTTCCGGAAACACAAGGTCACTCAGCTTCGCTCTGTAGCTGACCGTAACGGCCTGTACGATGCACCAAACGGTCACTCTTGGATCATGGAGAGGCTAGAATATTTTAAAAGAATTTCCGTCTATCTTTTCTCCTTCTAGTACTTACATACATACTTCGGACCAAAGCAAATATACGATGCACTTGAATGGTATTGGGTGTATGCATTAACTCGTGCGGTTTTCTAGCAGAGGGTTCTACTAGTATTATTTCGCGTCGTGTTCATCTGTGGCTATATTTATTTCAAAGGTACTGCATTTCGCGTCGTGCAAATTTGTACCGGATAAAGTGTTTTTGCGGGAGTTCTTCTTTATTACTTTAACATACAGAAAAGTGCCATCGTATTTTACTGGACGTTTATGGTGACCATGGTTTAGCCAAACGAATATGCCAAAAGTGATTTGTATGGTTTAAATGTGGCAATTTCGACTTATACGACGGAGAATGACCCGGACAGCTAAACAAATTTCAAGACAATGAATTGGAGACATTGCTCGACGCAGGTGCATGCCAGACGCAAGAAGAACTTGCAAAAGTATTAGGAGTTGATAACGCAACTGTTTTCAGACGATCAATCGTTTAAAAAAGGCCATCGTAGAAAAACGACCAGGATTTGCGGTCAGACACGAATCAATAATTTTTCATCATGACAACGTTCGGCCACATGTTATAGGCTTTGCAAGTACTATTTGGAAAACTGTGGGAGGGAAGTTCTACCTCACCCGCCTTATAGCCCAGACATAGCACCTTTTGATTGCCACTTGCTCAGATTAATGCAGAATGCCCTCACCAGTATACGCTTCACTTCAGAATATGGTATCAGAAATTGGCTCTAATCTTTCTTGACCTCCAAGCCGGAGAAGTTCCTTTGGGATGGGATCCACAAACTGCCAGAAAGATGGGCAAACATCGTAGCTTCCGATGGGCAATACTTTGAACATTAATTAATTTTCGAAAAAAAACCCCACGAATTAATGCATACACCCAATATACAAATGTTCGTTAAGCCAAAATTATACTATATTATAATAGCTGAGCGACATAGAAGGCAATACTGTCTCCTATTATTAACGCCATACCTTAATACCGCGGTCTAACCATGTTCACGACTGTTTCATAAATTAAAGCAAAAAAGTCTCCATTTATTCGACACTGTTAAAATTTATTACTAATATACTTAGGGCAATAGGATTTTTTGTCTAATCATTGAAGACCCGGCTACCTGAAGTCACAGTATATTCCCTTACATAATTTTTAAACTCTTGGTTTTCAGCATTTTCTAATTTTTTCAGAAATTATAAAAGTGGTCAACAAATGCAAGCGATCTGGTGCACTGGAGAGCTTTTGTTAATATCTGTTAGTATTTGGCGTTCTTATGGTAAAAAAAAACTATTAAAGACTCAGATATATATAAAAGTTTAAATGCTGCAAAACTCGCATAAAACTTATTTGATTTAAGAGGATAATGCTATATGTAGACGCCGTAGTCAAATTCAAATAATTTAAGTGATCGCATTTCCATTTGTGAAATGTTTCTAAAACATAACAATATCAAACCATTTCTGAATAGACTCGACTCGGAAATTTTGAAAATGGTTTTAATACGATGATATATAAAGAAAAAATAATGAGTGATAATGAAAGACTTCAGGGACTCTCAACAAGCAACTTTAAAGCCTCAATTGACCATAAACTAGGTAATGCTTAGTGTAAATGTATGAGGAAGCTTGGTTGTGAAGTTTCAATGCAGTCAATATATAGCCTGGACCTTGTACTATCTGTCTGCCATTTTTTCGGTCTCTGCGAAAATCTCTTGATGGTAAAAGAGAGACTATAGGCGATAAATTACAGAAGCTTTACTCTGATGAATTTACAAAGCTGCACGAAAAATAACTAATGATCGGCTATAATAATAATAGTAATAATATGTATATGTAGCGACAAAGGTATTAATTTGTAAGAAAAACATTGGTTTCATTTATTAAAATATATTTTATTCAATAAGGTAAAGCGTAAAAATCAGTAATTACTAATTTAAACTAAAATTAAATCTTACATAGGTTAATAATTGCAAATGAGTGTGTAGCACCGTTCGGCCAAAGATAACATGATACGAAATTCTCACAAACAAACTAGTAACAAAGCCAATTGAAGGAACTTTGAACAATTGTTCTTTAAGAAGCCTCAGTACTACCTAGTCAATAAAGAAACGCGCGTCGACAGAAAAGCAAATGTATGTTATCAATAAATTTGCATTAAGAAAGCAATTAAGCATTATATCAAAATTAAGAAAAAACATGAATTGTGTTTGTTGAAGACACATATAGCTGCAAATGTTCAAAAATATTCATTTTTTACACAATTTTTTGTTAGCACCAAAAGTCCAAAAAATTCTCCGAAAATCTGCAATGGAATATTTTGCATCCAAGTTGCACTTCTAGAAATTGTTATAAAAAATGTGAGTTTTTAAAACGCTCTCATGAGATAAAGATTCAGTTGGTTTGGCGATCCAACCAGCAAAGTAAAGCGAATAAATCAACGTGGGCCAACCAGCACACACATTCTCCAAACACGAAATATTTTCCGAGAGTTGAGTGAATCTTTCAGCTGCCCACAATTGAGTGGCTCTCAGTATGTATGTGGGGAAGTCGCAGTATATATACTTGATAAAAATTAGTCCTGAATTATAAAAAGTATTGAAAAACTTACTAAATATAGCAGCACATTTCGGAGAGGTCGAGAAAGTATTTTGAAGATATCGGGACCCTGCTTCATAAAATGAAATGGAAAAGTGAAAAAAATTCAACATCCGTTCTAATGTGAGGTAAAGAGTGAGAGGGCTATTTTACACGTATGTTCACTTAGGCAAGAAATTATCACTAAACTTTGCAAAAGAATATATCAAAAGTCATTAAGCACTACAACTACTACTCTTCCAGGCTAAGCAGGGAAGCAAATAAAATATATATCTGTCTTCTGACAGGCTATGAAGATTGATCGTTCAAATATATTAATGAGATGGATTTTAAAGTTACAGCGCTGCGCTATTGTGCATGACATTGGTTCTCATCAAGTCAGTTTTTACTCACTTGTTTTTTTTTTAAGTTCTAAGCAAAGCAGCACTTAAAATACCGAAATAATTTGAAATAAATTAGCTGTTGGCACTGAAAATGCAGAGATTTGCAGTCATTGCGTAGCCATCAATGACGAACTCACCAAATAAGGAATAAAATATAAGGAGCTAAAGAGGGTTAACAAAATTTGCTGCCGCAAATACATACAACACACACATAAATGCACTGTCGCTTACACCCGTACTACATACACTCTTAAATCTAATTGAAGTATTTCCCTCTGGACTCTCCACTTGGTTACATGGCAATGCTGATAAGAGTATCTGCCGCAGTATTGCAATAACGTCGTTGGAGCATTGACTTTTCAGTATCTACATTGCTGCATTGTTCTACGGAAATGCACACACATACATACATAAATAGTTTTGTGTACGAGCATAAAAAAAATACAAAGTTGCTACATTGTCTCACTGCCCGTTAATCTTTCTGACCAACCACACCCTTTTTGGTTGTCTGCTTGCTGAATGCGCCCGTCTGTTTGCCTGTCTATCTACTGCATGGGCCACTCAACTACAACTCTTTCCTCCACTAGTTGTGATGAAATCGTCGACATGTATCGTCGATGGAGTATCGAAATAACTTCAGGTTAGCCGCCAATGGCGGAAGTTCGATCCAAGTGGTTATTGATTGAATTTGTTCGAAACTGACGCCCAATCCCCGCTCGTTGCTGTTTCCTTCAGGTCAGCTCTGCTGTATGTTACTTGCTTTTGTTGTCATTGTGCAGTTGCAATTGTATTTGATTATCTATCGTTTGGCAGAGTTTCTTCACTTTTTGCTACTGAAATATGCATTGTTCGGCTGTTGTCTCAAATTTTGTGCTATCGACATTCTGCCTGTATTGCCAGTACTTCAACTCTTTCGAAAAGAAATTATTTTTAAAAGTTTTTCCTTTTTTTGTTATCAATTTTCTGTTTTCGATTTTCCATCCTCATGAGGTAAAACTCCCTCTCCCATAGCACCATAGCTGGACCATGGCTGGACCATGGCTACGTCTGTCAGAAAGTTTCCGGGAGTTGGTCAAAGCTGCTCAGCATATTTGGCAAGCTGATAGGATCATAGTACGACCAGTCTTATTTAATGGAGTTAAATCTTATACAATGAGCCAAGAGAACGTCTGTAAATGACGTGGCTCGATCAAGAGGGAGAGGGATTGACTTGAGTGCTACGATATAACCGCATAACCGGCAGGATGAAATAAAAGAAAAACTACATATATTTCATCAGATAAATGAAAAAATTATTTACTTGTTTGTTGAAAACTAAATCACGACGAAAATATTATTTTAAAAAAGAAAAATTTGTTTTGTAAAATATAAAAAATTACGTAGGTACTTTTAAAGAAAAAACAGAAAATTCAAACTTACTTTTTATAATCATTCGAAAAAATATTTTTCGGATTTTTTTTTAAGATTATCTCTTTCAAATGTTGGCCGCGGCTATATCTCAAATGGTCTATTCGTTTGCCAATTCGCGACGACGTTTTTACATATCCTCACAGAAAAAATTATAACGGTGTGATATCCCACAATCTTGGTGGCCAATCGACCGGCACAAAACGTGAAATTCACCGAAGTATTCTCTCAATAAATTCATTGACTGATGCGATGTGTGGAAAGTGGCACCATATTGTTCAAAGCAAATGTCGCTTCAAATTCGAGCATCAAAAAGTCACCAGCAAAATTTTTGAAGAAAAATGGTAACAAACCACACAAATTATTTTTCTTTATGGATGAAATGGCAGCTCTTGAATATTTTCAGGTTGCTCTTCGTCCCAAATGCGCCTACTGTGCTTGTCTGTCGGCTTCAGTTCTTTCACAAGCTATAGCTTGTACGATTTAAATTCAAAATCTCGATGTAAAATCAGCTAAGTCGTCGAGTTGCTACGAAGGTGTACATTCTCAGCAACGGTCGCTATATTATCTTACTTGCGTGATGGACGGGGTCTGTTCGGCCGAGAATTATTGAATGCTGGATCTCAAGATGGGTGATGGTATCACGAATGGCATGCTCAGTCGACTGATTAAATTGACCATAAGTTGAGCAAAGGACGCGAAACACATTCTTTCTAGAACGTGAATTTTCGTAATAAAGCAAAACAATTTGTAAACATTGTTCAGGCGTAAGTCTTTCCATGGTAAAACGTCTAACAATGCTGAACAAACATAACATGACAGCTTGACACGATTCACGCATGATCTGTCAAGAGAAGACTATTGATCAAAGCACTCCTACTTGCATCGCCCGTTATATATATATGTAAGGCGGCCTCAAAAGACAAGTGGCTAGAATTGCGTACGAAAGGCCAGACTTTGGTTCGACGACCGACCAAAAAATGGCTTTAGAGAAAAGCGCCATTTACTTATGTTAAAAAATCAAATATACAATCAATAAAAAATTTTGGAATGGAATTAAGCTCATTTGATATGTTAGTTGCTAGAGCTAAGGGGCGGTTTATTAATTCAATGGGTGTTCTTAATAAATTTTAGTGTATTGATACTGCAAAAACGTTTATCAGTTTGTTTTGACCAACTTATATCATTTCAACTTAATTGAACGTGTGTGAATCCAGTGAGGTAATACTTGTTCAAAACTCAACACTTCATCTGTTTGGCAGATTTTAGGAAAAGGAACTACCAAACGAAGATAGTAGTTATATATATCTAATGCAAAAAGTGACATCCAGAATATAAGTAATGAGCAAGGTAGTAAAATACAAAGCATAACATAATTTTATATTCAATATTTCCATTTTTTTCCCTTAGCTTATAGTCGTGTACCTGCTTCAAAATTTACTGTTTCTTTTCTTTGAATATGAGCGGGAAGAAAATTTACCTTTGATATTGAAGTGATGGGATTTTTATCCTTATCCAACCATTCGACGTTCGGTTCCCGCAGGCCAAACAATCGACAACGCTGCCAGCATTGTTGGTGAATTAAATACGCGATGGTGGCTCATGCGAGAAATTAAGCCCTTGAGTGTCAAAGTAGTTGGAAGCAACTGCAAAAAAGAAGAAGAAAAATTGCAATAAAATAAGAAGAGCAAGATGGGAAGATTGAGATTAGATAAATGTGTAGTGAAAGCAAACGGTAGCTTATAACTGCAAATTTTGTTTATGAATGTGTGGCTGTGTGACTGTGTGTGTTTTAAGATGCAACAGCAATGATAAAAAATTTTGTTGCATTCAAAGATTTTATTTGTGTGCAGAAGAGATTAACGTTAAAAGCGATAATTGCTGATGCTAACTGCAGATAAAAAATGTGGCCAAGCCCAACTGACCGACCGTGCAGATGTCGTCAACACGATACCTCTACTGCGAGTGCAAAAAAGAGTAGTAGAAGAAGAAGAAGGATATGCTCTAAATGCTCAGAAACCAGACAGCAATCATATTCACGCCACCACAAAATATATTTTTATTTTTTTTAATCCTTTTTTGTTTAGAATAGAATTTTCTGTATACACACACATTTCTTTAATCTTTTTCGTCCATCTGTTATGCCGTTTGTTGGCAACCCTTTTTGTCTGATACTTTTACATTACTGTCACTTGGGTTACAAGCATTAAAGCAAGGTCTTAGACTGTTTGTATTTGCTTCTTACAAGTTTAGCCACACACTTTCAGGCACACACTTTTACAACCTCACAGCTGCTCTAGAAAGAGCTTTAAAAATGCAGGCAAACAGTTAAAAGGATTGTTGGATTGGAAACATGTCTGGATGGGTGTTTGATGGCGGCATGGTAGCGTAGGGGTAGCGAATTGATATGAAGACTCATCATTATATACAGCTACACAGTTGGAGACACATCGCAAACAAAACCGCTATGGGTTCAAGTGCATCCTTCACAAATTTTACTTGCAATTCACTTGTAAGTCGTAAGCCGTACCCCGCGCCGCTCTACCGCCAGCACACTTGCTATTAATAGCTCTAACTCCTGCAAGCAAATCAGCAAATCGCCTAAAAGTCGAACGAGTAAACAGGAAATTGCAAGGAACAAACTCAATAATGGCGCTGCACGCTGTGCAACAGTATAATTGCAGAGCTCGAAGGATGTGCTGCGACAGAAAGGATGCAAAGGACATATCCTTTCTTTTAACTAAGGGTAGCATATGAGTGTAAGTGTTAGGTACATATATACATATGTATGCATATGCAATAAAGTGAAAGATATAAACAAAAGGGAAATAAACAGTGAAACCGTAAAAGCAATTTCAAATGAGTGCCTGCTTCTTGTGGAGTTAAAGGCGAAATTAAAATGAAGCCAAGAAGCAACCTGAGTGTTCAGCAGAAGCCTTTATTAGGCTTCTGATTACTCTTACTCGTACTTCGACTCCAACTCCAACCGGAAATACCCATTCATTCGTGCATCCATACGAAAATTCGTATGCTTTTGCAATTCCATAGACATCGATGACATTTTCTTACTGAAGACAACGCTGACATTGAGGGTGACGTGGACGTTAATGTTCTATCAAGAAATAAGATAAAAAATTAGAAAAAAATCGTGATTGAAGAGTTAACTCTTGCAGCACTGACGGTAATGACAACATTTTACAGCCCATCGAGTTTGAGTTTGTTACACTTAGGCTGCAGTTGATAACAGGAAGCGAATAAAGTTGATGTGGCATGATATACTCGAAAAGCTGCACACCTAATATAAATGACAACAAACCAGACTGAAAATATAAATATGTATGTAAAATATATACTTCAAACTCTGTAGTTAGTTAAGTGATTTGTATTGTACGTGAAAGAATCGATATTTTCTAAAGTGATAAAAATTGAAAATGTGAGATTTTATTAATTAACTAGTTTTTGGAGAAGTACTGAGAATTGAGCTTATATTTTATGAATTACTAGCGGTCGAAACAGCCGAGTGGTTAGCATTACATAATACTTTTCTGAAGATCAGAGTTCCAATCTTTGTTCGACCAATTATTCTTATTGGGGTCACTCTTAGGCAGGGAATGTCAAGTCCTCCTCGTATATTTCCAACATAAAAGAAAAGGTCCTCATAAAATTTATCTGCCGTTCGGAGGCGGCTTCGTATAAGCTGTCGTTCCCTCTATTTGTCGGAAAAATATCGAGACGCACACTAAAAATTGGACCCGAAATTGGCTTGAGCGGATACAAAGCGCCCATAAAATATCTTACATATTAATTTTTATCATTATTTGTATGAAATATTTTTGACTTGTTCAGGAAAATGTGAACTTCTTGAAGTTATCCAACCCCGAGTTTTAATCATAAACATAATTTTAATAAAGTGTTTTAATAAAACTCATTTTGTGGGGCTAAGAACAACGCCTCGGCTGACTCGAACAAATACTAGCCGAAAGTTCTAATTTCTGACCCCCCTTTTTGCAGCAATTTGGGGCGTACGTCAGCAAGAACCCGCCAAATATTATCTTTCAAAGCTTTAACCGTCTCAGGCCTTTTTGCGTAGACAAGCGCACATAACTTCACCAAAAATAGTTCAGCGGTGTCAAAATTTACGATACCATCCCAAGGACCCACGACACAAATAATGCGCTCTCCAAAATTTGCCTTCAACAAATTGACTGTTTCGTTAGCTGTGTGCCATATAGCTCTGTCCTGTTAGAACCAAAGGCCGTCCGCATGAAGAATTCACTCTGTCCACAGAACACATCAAATATTGACAGTTTCAAGATGTAACGTAGTCTCAGCAATAACTTGAAGATTATCATCACATCAACCAAAGTACACATACAACCAAAAGTGGGTTTCATCATTCAACGAAATTTTGTTATGATTGCCGACATCGGTGGCCTTCTCTTTTCGGGGCTATTCGTTGAGCATGCCGCGCCCTTTGGCGATCGTTCGGTTTCTTGCGCGGGTTGGATTATGCAAGCAACCAATATTCTTATGCAGTCTTCGTTAAGTCGTTAAATGAATGGGCACAGCACCAATAGTTGCGCGCGATGGCGAAGGATTTGTTTGGTTCTTTTTCGGTACTCCGATCCTGAGCACCAATAGCCACTTTGGTGCTGCGGTATCTTTCCGGATGCGTATTATTTACTAGAACAATCGTGGTGCGAAACCGAATCATGGTTGCCCGAATTCCCGACTCTGATGATTATGGCGATTAATTTGGTAATAAATTTAAACGATTTGCAAATGATGTGCAATAGGAAGTCTGCTCATCATGAAATAGCAAACCTGCGGTAAATAGTGGTACAGAGTCTCTGTACATGGAATACAGCCCATCTTCCATAAGCTTAACAACTGGCATACTAACCGGACATTACGTTGTGGGTACTCATGGTGGAAGAACGGGCTACTTCTGAATTGAATTTTATCGTAGTTGAAGGACATAAATGAGGAGGAATCGGTCTAATAGCTCTCAGTGCGGTTTGTTAAAGTTTTCTCGGATCTTTCCTTTTGTATATCCTTGCATATCTTGCATCTGGAGAAATTATTAATCTCCCGGAAGCTCATAAAACACACTTGGTGGTCTGAAATCTGGAATGGTGTAAGGATCTTCACAAAACAAACATGGGTATTACCACGAGTCATTAGGCCTAAGTGTGCTTGATCAGGCTTAACTTACAAGCTAATTAGATTTCTTCATTTCAATATAAGATATTTAGAATAAATTTCTCAAAAAAAACTGTATCCTATCTGCTTACAAAATTGCTTCGTAGATATTTTTCTTGATAGGATACCAAAAACACGTAATTTTTTCGCGTTCAAAAGTATAAAAATTAATAAAATCTTTCAAAAATTTTTTGAAAGAGGTAGATTTTTTTAAGAGAAGAGACTAGCACGAAAAAAATTAAACATGTTTATTGATGTCAGATAGCTATGAAGCCGACTTCTAAGAGAGAATAAAAATACCTTTAAACTATTTTATCAAGAAGGAAACTATGCTTCAAAATAGCTTTGAGTAGCTTGAAGCTTTGGTAGTAGATGAAAAGAGAAATTCATGTTGAAAAAGGTCCTAAAAAATGATCTGATCATGCGCTCATTACTTGTTTATTTGTGTGTGATTTTAAAATATTCTCTCTATTACAGGGTCTAAAACTTGGGTGACAATTTTTCCTGGACTTCTAAATTAAGGCAGTAGTCTCTATTAGAACCCGAAAAAAATCGTTTTCTGCAATTTATTGGAAAGAAAAGATATTTATTGAGTGAAACGAAATTTCACAATAATGTACTAAATTTAAGCTACAAAAACTATTTTTAACCTGCTTGACGCTCGGCCAATAAAACTTCTCTAGCTTGTTAAATATGTCGAATTGGCCACTGAAATTATGAAGACATATTCTTGGATAGTTAGCCGCTAAAAATGAGCTCACTTAGTAGTTGTTAGTCAGTAAGGGAATTGAATATGCCGTCAACAGATTACATATGTGATATAATATTATCTCAGTAGACTAGCCTGTTAAGTCTGGATCCGTTGTTTCGAATCCACCAGAAGAGGTTTGGTGGGATAATCTCCGAAACAGCTTTCGCTTCTTCCACTTTTTTTGTTGTATCTCAAAAAAAATTTAATTCGTGAAAAAGCAAAAGGTCTCAAGCTAAAACTCATTGACTTATAACAAAATTACAATACAGGCCGCAAAAACAATTGAAAAGTACTTTCATTCGTGTTGCACTCCTTTATTTATAGCATTTTCTAATTTTTTTTACCCATAGCGGGAGTAAATTCATCCATCATGAAAACACTCACCGAATTATGTTTTGAGAAAAGGACAAAAGTGAACTTTTACAGACTTTATTTGATTGATATGTAATTTAAGAAAAATTGAATTCCATAGTTCAATGTGCATTAAAGTGAACCGTTATATTTATTTGGTTAATTGGCCAGCATATCTACTATACGCGGTTGTCATTGATTCACTTTTTTGTAAGAGAATATGTAATGTTTTACTTTTAAATAATTCTATTTTTTATTTTTTTTTCTGCTGGCAGTTGCATCAAAGTAATTTGTTTTATATAATTCAAGTACAAGTTACGGTAAAAAAAAAAAACAATATTATAAATGAAACATGTGTTATTATATTTAACCTAAAAAATGCGGATTAATAAAATAATGCAGATAATCCGTTGCTTAACAACATAATACCTTCTTTGATGGCACATAGTAGGGTGTGTCGCTAGAATGACTTTATATGATTCTCCGTATGAGAGTTTGGTTGTATTAGGCTTAAGATTCAGATCATTCGAAGTACATTTTATCCATATTAAGTCAGTAAAGCCGATTTAAGATCTAAGCTATACTCAAAAATATTTCTTTTGTAAATTATCGTCATTACCTTGAAGTTCCAGAAGAAAGAAATTTGAAGAGAAAATAATTACTTGCTAAATCTTTGAAAGACTTTCGAAATTATTGACCTACAAATAACAGGTGTTAGGTTTCCGACTCAAAAATTGTGTCGCATTTTGGAGAGATAAATATATATTTAATCTATAATCTGAATGAGTGACAGATCAAACCACAGCCTAATCCACTAATCCTACAAATTTGAAACTAGGAAGCTATGTTCTGCGTAAGACGAATGCATTCAATAAGAATTTTTCGGGAAGTGTTATTGGAAACATATTAAAGAAGTCCAGGATAAACTTTTGTAACATGTAAAAGCCTTTAAGGCTTTTTAAAGATTTTCCTGATATATGCTTTCAAATAATTTAACATAATAATTTAGAAGTTATAATAAAATAAATACCGTAAAAATCGATAAGAAACTAAATAACCAAATACAGTTTTTAAAAACTCTGCAGCACCCTGATATGTAAAAAGTAAGAAAGGACTTTAATTTATGTGTGACTGTTCAAATTATTTGCAAAGTAAAGGTGATTGGATATATTTTTCAGCGTTTGTCGATCATAACTATTTTAGTTAACTCCGTGATTATTACTCAAGTTTATTAGATTAATTTCATAAATAAACAAATTTTTGTCAATCGGAAATTGCTATCCTACCTAAATTAATGTCTAATTTAAGAGTAACGTCGACAGCCTTTGCCGAATACTTATCTCAAATATTTCATCCAATATTATTGGGTTGCCCAAAAAGTAATTGCGGATTTTTTAAAATGCATTTTTAATGCATTTTTAATGAAACTTAGAATTAACTTTAATCAAATATATAATTGCCATTTTGTTCGATAACCTTTTGCCATCTACCTGGCAAATTTGGTTTTCCACGCTCATATATCTAGTATTTAGGAGTTTAAAACCTAGAAAAAGATACTCCTGCCTAAAAAATATAAATCTTCTGGAAAGAATTTGTGAAAACAACACCGCGATTAAAGGGGCGACTTTGCTGGAGATTTTTCTGTTTCGACAAAGTTGGAAAATGTCATGTTGAAGCTTGTAGACTGACTCGTGAGTTCGTGTCTCACAACCAGCTGCAATACATTGCCTGAATTCGGGGTTTGAATTTACGCTTTATTGTTTCATTACACTTTGTTTGATAAAGGCTCATTCACAGTTAGCTGTCAGTAACATTTTCAGGGATTTTGCACATTAATTTTAACCATAACTTTAGGCAAGGTTTGAAATAATAAGTTGCCTTTATTATTTCTTTTCTCCCCTTATTTATATTATGAACTTTAATTTTCTCTTTATTGCTTAATTTAGTTTTCTTCTTAATTTCTTAAAGTAATAATATTTTCGATTTAATGCCCAAGAGCTGCTTGCAATTTCTTTATAATCGAAGTTCAAAAAATATTTTATTCCTATAATTCTGAGACTGACTCATTACCCTAGAAGCAAGAAAAGTCGCATAATCAGTTTTTTGAAGAAATAAGTATTTTGTTCAATTTCTATAATTTTGTATTTTTGTCAAACCTAAACTCGAACCCTGGCCAGACTGTCAGTACGCAATCTCAACCTCACACACCTGGCATCTCAATAAAGTCGATTTCATTTGATGTTTGCCTCTCGAGCTATCCTCGTAATAAAAAGTATTTACCGAAGCTTTCAGTATGACTCATATCCCACGGCAGTCAGTTCTATGCATAGAGATAGAAGCAAATTTTATTGGTAAGCACCTCTTTGCATGAACACTAATACACATCTACTCATCACTATTTCGTGTTTCCCTATTCCTAAATATATTTATATTTTATGTTAGGTTCCTACCTCTAAAAGTATGTTCAGTATAAAAGAACAGATCTCACTCTATCATCCGCTATTGCATACACAGTAAAAACCACATTGCCGTAGTCGTCTGGAAGAGGAGAAGGAATGATCTGCAATCAAAGTCATGACATTGAATGTCTTATTGTAGATTCACCAACTCGTGTGTTGACAGATTTAAGACCTGCAGTAACCGATCCGTCAGATGAAAAGTGGTCAGATGAAAAGTGGTGCAGTTGAATATGAGTTTAAAGCCGTTCGTAAAAATAGATTTCTTGTTTTTACGCGACTTTCAGGAAAACCTAGTATTAAAATTCAGCAGATGATCGAATCAGCAAAAAGATGTATATAGTCAGTATTTTTTTAACTTGGGACATCTCCTTTTTTTTGTTTTTTGAAAACATTATTTTTAATAGCTCACGAGGGATTCGCCACCACCACACATAAGATGACTGCGAGGAGAGCAAAGCAGCACAGCTGTATATCCCAATGAATCATCGATTCTACGTCGTTCGACAATCGGGCCTCTTTACTTCATTCCATAGAATATATTGGAAAAGGATTTGAGTGTGAAGGCTATCAGTAATTAAATTTTTTACGTTTGGAGCCACCTAAATCCTGTGATTTGAGGCCTCTAAACTTTTTTTGAGGGGCTATAAAGACCCATGTCTATAGCAAAAACCCGCAACGTTTGACGAACTGGAAGCCGATATTGATGAATTTATTGGAGAGATACTAAACAATTTGTAGGAGAGAGTATAAAAAAGGACGCTGGTATGAGCAATTTGCACCAAAACCCCGGCCAACATCTATGTACACGAAATGATATTTAGACATTATACTCAATCCATCGTTTTATCTACTAAAATAAAGATTTCATACTGTGAATACCGCATACTGCATTTTTTTCCAAATCACATACGAAAGCTCTCAGAAAATCAAAACTTCACATTCCACTTTCTAATCACTTTGATACCCATTTAATATATTAGCTCTAGTAAAAAGTAAACAAATATTTTTTTCAATGAATGGTTTTAGTGTTCTAATTACGACGTTAAAGATATATCTTGAACGAAAAAAGATAATAGAATAAGTGTTGACCACTTAACTCAGTAGTTTATCACAGATTTGCAGCTTGACAGCTCTTGAGTAAATACAAAATACAAAGAAGCTCGACGTATGGCATCATAGATAAATCGCACAAAAATCGGCTCCATCAGAAGCTAGCGGTAACTGGTGATGAAAAGTGGATCACTTACTGTAACGTCTAATGAAAACGATAATGGATAGATGACCATGATGCGGCAAGTACATCGCAAATGGACGGGATTGTGAGCCAACAAACTTCTGGAAACTTTCATGACGATAATGCACCACTGAATCGAAGTATAGTAGTGAATGATTTAAAGAGCTAAAACTGGTTAAATGCCATCAATCAACCGGATTTGGCCACCTACGATTTTGCTTTGGTTCAAAACTCGAAGTTACCACTATGTGGACGAGCTTCGACTCGATTGAGGCCGTAAATTTATACTTGCAGAGGGACCTCAGGTTGACTGATTTCAATAGCTGTTAAAAACAAACTGGTTGATAGATCGCGCAAATTTATGACGTAGTAAGTAAGAGCTGAAAAATATCCAGCGCGGGCAGTTTAAATGACAATTTCCGGAAATTTCCGGTCTAATGAAGAACTTTTTAGTATGCTTACGCTCCCACATATATCTCCATTTTTCTTGACTACTTTTAGCTTCTATAATCTACCAGTCCACATACAGAGTTATCATAACCAATGCAAGTGTGATTGGGTATAAAAAATTTAGACTACATATTAAATGCCGAACTGAGTGCCGTATCAACCACAAAAACAAGAATTTCATTTATCAACTTCAATGTTAATTGCATTCCTAGTAATTTTTCACAACCAAACATGAATACAAACGTTTTTACATACATATATAAGTACGAGTACACTTATGTATATATAAAAATAAGTCTGTATTTTCATATTAACCGATGTACATGAGTTTGTAAGCATTTACAAATATACGAATATGAAAAGAGGATTCTTACGACTCACCTGTACTGGTCGTAATGGCAATAAAGATCACCATAAAGAACAGTACGACATCCTCGCCAGTTTAGTTAACAACTGAGGTAGATGGAGCGATTCTGAGCCATCGCTTAGTCGTCATTGCATAATTAAAAAAAAATTTCCGCCTTTTGCTCACTCTCACACACGCAGGGTTATCATCCATCGCTACAGATGTGTTCGGGAGACGCATTGAAGCACATACGTATATATGTAAATTTGGTTGTAAATATTAAATGTGTAACTGCAGATTCTTCGATATGTGAATAAATTTCGACGCAGCAACGGAAGACTCGATTTATTAGTTAAATGGAACCACAGGTGCTGCAAAAAAAGAAAAGAATTGATTCAGTAGAACGCTTTAATAATGCATTCATGAGTTGTTGTGTAAAAAATAATTTTCATTTTAGATGAGCTGAAAACACACATTCTCTAAAAATAACAACGCAAAAAGGCAAAAGACTGCCAACATTTGCAATGGTCAGAGCTCAGACAACTTCATTTCCAATGCAAAATGAATTTAGTGACAAGGCAACATGATAAGTTCTCTCGGTGTGCCCCTATTATCACATTAAAAACAAAATAACTTTACGTTTTCAACATAAAAAGAGACGTAATGTGCTTGACATGTTTTTACCTTTTGTGTCTATATATAAATATGTATGCCCATGCAGTAACTCGGTTGCTAATTGGATAATCTAACTCAACGTGAGCTGGGTTTTTTATGTGTGGTTGTTTCCTCCTCCGCTATCTCATAATTTTATAAAGGAATCTTTTGTTTTATGTTGTACACACAAAAAAATTTAAAAAAAATGTAATGTTTTTTTAAAATATAACCACAAAATACGGCCTGTTATCTTCAGGAATTGGATTTTCAACAGTCCATAGTGAATATAGTAGAGTCTCTTCTGAAGAACAGGGTCATCTTCGCAGAGATGGGCAGCGCCAGTGTTGCCAGACACACAAGAAGAGAAACCCTCAAGGAGTTTTATCGCCAGTGTAGTGGTGATTAGCTGCGAATACGCTGATTAGAAAACTTCATAACACAGTTTATGGCATTGTGGCATACGCAGATGACCTTGCCCTGACACCTACAGACGTGAAGTGATTTACTCCAAAATGCTCTTGTTATAGTTGAGAAATGGTGTACAGATGGCAGGAAGGACGTTAACCCTGATAAAACAAAGATGGTATTATTTACTAGGAGGTACAAACCGCATGCCACCCAAAACTAAAAGGCGTGGAGATTAGTCAGAAAACTAAACTGAAGCCGGACAACGGCTGAAAGATCAAAGAAAGCTATAACTGCGCTGAACGCCTGCAAAACAGCGATGGGATCCATCACCGAGATTTGTGCACTTATACCAATCCTATTCTGCGGGGCCAGCACTCCAGAAACTCACCTTCAGGAGCAAATTAGAGAGACATCAACGATCGGCGTACTTCCTGATAATGGTAGCATCGCCAGAAACTCCCTCAAAAGGACTGTCATCAACTCCCTTGAAAGCGCTGCTAACTCTTCTCAACCTCCTTTCTTTGGATAAATACGGGAAACTACAAGCGGGTTGCAACGCAATAAGATTGAATGCAACTCAACCTTGGAAGAATTGTAATATAGGACATACAAAAATATTATCTATTACAGAAGTGCCGAAGGAGGTGGACTATACTACCAACAGTGTATGCTTCAATAATCTTTTCTCTACGAGAATCCCAAACAGATGCGAGTGGCAAAGCACCAACGCTGCCAACCAGCGAACAATAGCCACCTCGACAGATGGCTCGAAGTTTGCGGAATTTATTCTCTCGTGCTTTCATTAAGCATGAATACCGGAAGACTGCAGCATTTTCCAGGCGGAACTCTTCGCACAAATCCACGGCAGCAGGACAATTGGTTACAATTTACTTCGATAGTCAGGCTGCAATCAAGTCTTTCCAATGAAACGTTATCACTTTTCAAGGGTGCCCATAAACTGTAGAAACACTCTTAACGAACTTTTAACGAAGTACAGTAGAGCCGTGGACTAGGTGCATGGCTGCAAGGACATCTCAGGCAATTGCATGGCAGACGAACTAGCAAGGGAAGGAACCGTTCTATCTATAGTAAAACATATACATCATGCTGGTTTACCTCTGTCTATGGCAAAGTACATGCTTAAACTGGCCTTCACCAGGGAAGCTGACTCGCGATGGTTGACCGAGAACACGTGTAACGTGACCAGATAGCTATGGCTAAGGTTGGACGTAAAGCAATATAAACATCTTATCCTTCTTGACCGGTTCTCCATTAACATAACGACTGGTACAATAACTGGACACTGATTAAAGGGGATTAACGGGAAAATGATGGCTATTCTCTAGCGATTTTTGCAGCGGCTGTAGGGACGAAGAAGAGGAGGAGACCATCGAAAACTACCACTGCCACTGTCCAGCCTTGACATTCGCGCGACAAAAGTTTATTTTGAAACAGTTCTTCGAGTTGGCCTCAGCGAGCTTTAAAAATCTCGTTGTCTTTATAAGGCACAAGAAATTTTTCGATCATTTGAGAAGATGAAGGCAGGAGCGCTGAGCGCTGGCCCAAATGGTGCCTAAGTGTGCTGGGTTTGACCAGCAGCTGCATCAACTCAACTCAACTCAAGGCAACTCAAACAAAATATGTCTTCATGAGAAATAAACTACAGCTTCATTATTGTTATATGTAAAAGGTGTTTTTAAGATATGTGGTTTTAAAGGGAAAATATAACGGATGTAATTTGATGTTATGAGCTAGAATTTATCTTTATTATGCATTTAATTTAAAAGTTTGTGAAACTGCTTCAAAAATTATTTCGGACAAGTAAATGCCACGGCTGGCTCGAACCAATTCCAGACGAGAGGCCCAATTTTTTGCAGTAAGTGGGCCCATAAGTCAGCAATATGATGCCAAATATTCTCTTCCAAGTCGTCAATCGTCTCTGGTTTTACGGTATTAACGGTATTAACTCGCGCGTTCCTTGAGGCCATGCCACAGCCTTACGACGCGAGATAATGTACTCCATGCCATAAGTTTCTTTTAATAAATTGATTGTCTCCTTGGCTGTAAGTCATGTGGCACAGCCTAATTGAAACCAAAAGTTTTCTACTGCAACATCTTTCGACTTAGCCACGAAAAATTCATTAATTCTGGTTCTATAGCGTTCTCCGATGATCATTACGTTCGGCTTATTTTTATGTAATAACTCCCTCTGCTCAGAAAGCATACCAAACATTGACTTTTTGAGGATCCAAAGGCGTCTCCAAAATGGCGTGTGGACTATCATATCTCCAAATGCAGTAGTTTTATTTATTAACGTACCCATTCAACTAAGAGTTAGCTTCAGTGCTCATCTTATCTCATCACATTTTGGACCGAGACACCGAATATTCGTCGGGTTTGATGGTTGTTGCGTGAGATGGTGGTTTGATAGTCGCTCCACAACAGGAATAGCGTCTTCGGTGCTAGGGAGTTTTTGAGGTTACACATTATTCTCTAGACCAAGCTCGCATTATATTGAGTAGACTGGGAAATGCTATGGTTCAAGGATGAGAGATAGTAGGTTCTGGTGAATTCATTAGGACAGAATCAAGGGCTGTGATTTTTACTGGGAAATAAAATGTCGCGGAATACTCACAGACAACGCACCATCTTACAAGGCTATCTTTGTGAACAAATTTTTAGTTAAATATTCGAAAAACAACGTGATTAACCTTTTATTTTATATGTCGATTTTTATATTTATAAAGCTCCAGATATTCGTTTTCAGTTAATAGAAAAGAATAAAATATGCCAGAAGAAGCTCATTCTGAAAAAAAAATTATTCAGCTTGTTTGCTCGTTTAATGGTCTTAGTGTACAGTATCGGAATATGTATACTTTTTAGGTAATTCTCTATTCCTCGGAAGTTGTCTGAGAGAATATATATGAAAATTTCTTACAAACCTTTTAAAGCTTAAAACTTTTCTTATACCTAATTCTTGCTTATCTAAAAACCAGTGGTATAATTCGTTTATTTAATTGAAATCAATAAAAAGGCTGTATGGTTATATTTCGTATTTCTAAGCCTCTGAAATATTTTATCCGCACTAGTATTTTTGTTCTATGATTCTCTATATCCCAGTGCCCTGAAAGATCTACTTAAAAAAAATTTTCGAAGAAGAAGCTCTCGCTTACAACTTCAACACAAAACCTTTCAAAAATAAAAATTGTTTTCGAGCAAAGAAATTGAAATCTTGCTCACAAACAAAAGCAATGAAGGACATACAAAAAGGACTTGTTTTGCACGCTGCTAAAAGCTTTACAGTTGGCTGTGTATGAGTTTCATTTTTGGAGAGAAATTTCGTTTGTTAATAATTTCACAGGAAAAAGTATGGAGAACATAAATGTCTGTAAATGACAGTGTCTTTGTAGATATGTATGCTTGAAAAAAAAAACTACCTGCATAGAAATGAGTGTAAATACGAACAGGTAAAATATGACTTGAGAAGGTTTCCAAATTTGCTCTACGTAATATGAAATATAGACAAACTTTTATAACCCATTTGACCGCATGGACTATATGTAAGCATACATATGTACATATGTATGTGTATACAAATATCATACATACATATGTCATTATCGAAGCGTACACACTCGCTCACGTACTCTGCTTTGAGAAACCTGAGAATAACATAGCAACAAAAGAAAGCTGAATAGCACGGCAAAAAAAAGGAAATAATGAAAAGCGTTTTCGTATTTTAGGCTTCACCGTTACACTTTAAAATTGCCTAACTGAATTGCACAGCAGGGGCTTCTTCCAATCGAAGAAAATGTATGTAGATGACGATGAAATATCACAAGAAGCTGGCTTTCTTTTTCTCCTAGCTTTGAAACGTTGCTGTTTTGCATGTAAACAACTGTGTGGCACGCAGCACACAGCTGAGACCTCACAAAAGGTATTTTACGCCAAATCATATATAATGGGTACACACATATTAACATGCTAGTATTCACCCACACATGTATGAGCGCAAAGCGTCTGTGGGTTGGAAAAAATTATAAATCCACGTGAAAACGGTGCTCAGGAAAACTCACTTTGGCCTCCTGTGGCGCCACTCATACCGTTTTAATTCTCTGCTTTCTTTATTTCATTCGCAAACAAAGAACCTGTTATGCTTCTGCTGCGTGAAGATATCTATGTGCATTACATATGTGTGATCGTACATACTCACATCGTTTGTAAGAAGTTTCAATTTTAAATTTTCAGCAGCTGAAAAGAAAACATACTGAATCGCCTTCAAGCCAAAAGGCGTTGAATGTGATTTTTT